TTTTTTTTTTTTTTTTTTTTTTTTTTTTTGCACGTGATATGGATAATGAAAAGGTTTTGAGATTTAAAGTGCTGAGCAAAATGTGACGTAGGAGCTTATTCCAACATTACTATTTTTCTATTGCTTCGAAGTCGAAATTCAGGTTGTTAAACACATACGATTCTTTGGTTTTTTGTATGTAGGTTCCTTGAAGTGTGTTTTTAAAGAAAATGAATTTTTATAGGAGAGGTTGCCAACCTTTTTTTTTTGCAAACTTGCTATTTGTAAACGCAGGTAGGATTACTATTTTTGTACTACTATGCATTCAAAATTGAGGTTGTTGGGGACACAGGATTTTTTTGGTTTTTTTCATACAGATTCCTTGAACTGTGTTAAAAAAAAAAATGAATTTTTATAGAGGAGGTCGTCAAGCTTTTTTTTGCAAACTTGCTATTTGTAAATGCAGGTAGGATGGTTTTTCGCGTGAAAAACCAAATTTTTTTTTACTTAATATTTCATTTACATCAACTATTTGTAAAAAATTTGCTATTATTATGCTTGCCGCAGTTGTGACTGTGGCTGCTTCTTGAATTTTTTCCATTTTCTTGTACTACACAGAAATATGTACAAATTAAGAGCAGAATTTAGCCTCTAAACTGCATTCCAGCAAGTAATTCAGCTAGGGCACTAGATTCAAGTAAAATCTAGCAATCACTGTGTAGCCACAAGTGTGACGAACAGAATGGTGCTAAATTAGACCCAGAGTTCCCAGAAAAAGTCAGCTAAAGACGCCTCAGTTCAGACTTAAGCCGGCGTTTTTCTCAGCATTCAGCAAGAGACATTACAGTATCCCCTTGCCGTCCCCATTATACACAAAGAAAGAACAGCAATGGGGTGTTCCATATATTTGTAAGGTACCTTCACGCTTTCTTACATTTCAGTAGGGGAATGAGCTATTTTTGTACCGAGAATATGAAAAATAAACGGTGGTTCTCTCCTTCCATCCACCTTTTTTTTTTTTGAATTATTTATTTTTTCATCATTATTTTTGAAGTTTTTCTCATTCGGTGGAGAACTGCATTCCTTGACTTGCTCACTCAGAACTGTGTTTTTCTCAGCAAGTGCTCGGCAACCCCCATTTGTTTTTTTTTGCATATTTCTTATCTATATATGCCGATTACAAAAAAAAAAACTAACAGATTTCCTAAATAAGTTAAAATGTATCTGTTGAAAATAAAAATCCTGTCACATTTCTGCTAATATCTCGACAGACAATGGACGGAAGAGAGAACGAATTGGAATGCAAAGAGTTTAAACATCCGAAAACAAAATGGCAATGATAATACATCATGTACACAACCACAATAAAAGTTTAGCACACCTTTACAGACGTCAGTAGGATAACCTCCGGCTTCCTCTTTATAACACAGTGGCATTGAGCCAAAACCGCTGGAGCTCCTCCAGAAGGTTCCTATGTTCGCAAAAAAATTTAACACAAATTGGAAATGACGATGCCTATAGGTGTTGTCTAGAAATGTTATCTTAAAATTACAAAATTTTTCCAACTGTTAACGAGGGAATATGGAAACGCTCGTAACTGTTGATCAGCATAGGGAGGAACTGGCTGTTTGTTTGGAGAATCACAGAAAAGACCAATCTGCTCTTTGGTTAGAAAAGGTATAGTGTTCTTATACCACGGTGAGATGTTGATCCATACGATAAAACAGGTGAAATTTCGTTCTATACTGAAGCTGTTTGATAAACTTTAAATGCGGTAGTCGTAACTGTCGCAAGAAAGGTTCTCTTCAGTCAAGATTGGTTGTTGTAGCTGCGGTGTTGCTGTATTATTGTTAATTGTTGGTACGCTACGAGAAAACTCGAGAAAGACCTGGAAGTGAACATTACGTGATATTAAGTGTTACGAACTTTCTTTTCCTGTTGGAATACTTATTCAGAAAAAAACTCTAACATCCCACCTGTTCTAAGGTAGTTTGGCTGAGCGAATAATCAACAATTTTAAAATTCGTAGCAATATTTTCCATTTGTTGAAATAGTGCAGACCATGTAGTATCTGGCCGTTTATGGACTTCGTAATTTAATTGTTGCATGTTTTCTTCCTTTAAAAGTCAGTCTTAGAGAATGGGAAGCTAAATAAGACTTGAAGAACCGTTATAGCTGCTTTCAGGGCATCAGGAAGTACGTTTAAGTTCAGTTTTTTAAAATACAATACGGCATTGTTAAATGAGTTACTTTCAGAACGGAGTTTAGAAACGTCTTTGCGATAATATCCTTTATCTCCCTCGAGGAAACAGATCTGGGAACTTTGATTATTAGCGTGTAACCCAGTCCGTACCTGTATTTGTTAGAGTTTTAGATGCTGAACGCACTGCTAAAGTATGAAAATTAAGAGTTTTAAATTACCTGGACTTTATGTGTTGTATATTTCCTAAACAACGGAATTTACCGTTGACCATGATTGCTAGCTGTGTGCACAAGGCCTCACATTCCTCCATGCTGTGTGACGTTAGAACTAATGCGGTACCTTGGTCACGAACCTTAAAATATAGATTAAAAAGCACACTTCTAGACTCTCTCTTAGTATGTTACTTTTAAGCAATAGATGTACTCTTGAAAGGATGTTCCAAATGATCCTTCTCGCTTTTGGATCAACACCAGTCGTCGGTTCATCAAGGAGTAATACTTCTGGTAATCCTACTAAAGCTATTCCGAGGCTCAGTCTTCTTTTGTTCCCACCGCTAAAGAGATTCAATAAGATTAAAAAGAATTTAGCGGAGATCATACCCAGGTAGATGATGCAGAAATTTTACTTCTTTTATCCTCGCAGAATTAATTTTTAGAGGAATATTATACATAGTTATTCAAGAAAAACAAGTAATTCTTACCTATATGTTTTTATTGGGCGCTTGGCATAATTTCCAATGCCAATGGCTTCTATTGTGGCATCCACACATCTCGAAATTTCCCCTGGGGGTATTCCACGAATGCGAGCAAACATAGTCAGGGTTTCAGACCCAGTCATTTCCTTTAAGACCGCGTCGAATTGAGGGCAGTATCCAACATGAAGTGCGGCCTTAACAAAAACGTTATTTGGTCTTACATCTAGTCCTAATAAATTCCAGATTAGAAATCTGAAAAAGTAACTTACATCTCTCCAGTTCTCGCTAACGCTATAACCTTTTATAAATGCTTCACCAATAGACAGAGGGTTTTCTCCTGTTAGCACCTGGAAGGTACTGGTCTTTCCTGCACCATTTACGCCTAAATTTATTTCTCGTTAGCCTAAATTTAATTAACATCAGCCTAAATTACAAATTAAAAACGCCGAAAGAAGAATGAGGCCAAAGCTTTCACTAAGTCAACAAGATTCATTGTCATTTATCATAGATTTCAGTATGCTGGTCTTTGTTTATCATTTTTAGCATGAGTTTTCGCAAAAAGCGTCATGATACTTTCAGTAAGCCACATTGAAGTAAGATTATGTTTGTTTTATGTGAAGTGAATTTGAGCTTTTTCAAAAAAAAAAAAAAAAATTCCTGAGAAGAAATGAGCAAACCTAGCAATCCAAAACAGTCACCAATTTCCACATGGAAACTGACACCTCTTACCGCATGAAAGCTGCCATAATACTTATGCACATCCTGTACAATTAACGCTGAAGAATCAGGCCTCATTTCAATCACAGATTCTTTTTCTGCAATAACGTCGGAGTCTTCGAACTGCACTTCAGGCAAGACATCTTGAACGTAGACCTGAAATTTTGAGAAAATCCAAGTTTAGAAATTAGCACAGCTGATTGAAAAGAAAAAAAGGGAAAGGTGAGTTTTCTGAAGGACACTCCAACCTTATTAGTAGAACCAAATTTGCTGCATTTCTGAAAAAACCTTTCTCTCGTTCTAGTAAACCAATCATTTTCAATACCAACTGTCAGGAACCAGAACAGGAATCCCTCGAATACGAGAACAAGGACCTCAATGAGTAAGCCTTTATCTGTAGTGCTTCTCAATACCGAGTCCACAAAAATCCTTTCTTAAAAAACTGTTTATCATTTAAAATTTAGTGGTAATTAGACAAAAAAACCTTTGAACTGCTAACGAAATGAGCATAACCTGTCATAGAAACAGTATGTTAAAAGAATTAACGCGTTACCAGTGTCATTTCCGCAGCACTGTGGTGCGCCGGTTTTGAATAGCGGGATAGTGCAATCAACCGGAGCACAAGCCCTTCTACCAAATTCGTTATTATACAATCGAGTAAAGCCCAAGCATAAGTTGTAAGTCGGGAAGAACAATGAAAATACTATAGCACAAATGTTTGCAGCGTGATCGCTGGCAGTTTCTTGTATAATTGGGACCGCTATTGCCCCAATCATTCCTGAAATAGTAGCGCAATCTGTAGTACAATTTCTACTATCAGTAGGGTAATAAAACATCGAAAAACCCCTACTAAACAATGAAAGCTCTGATTTAGGAGTACATTTGAAAGATTAAAAAGTGGAGAATTCAACGAGTGTTATAAACTATTGAAAAACTTCTAAAAATGAATGAGAATGAAGTGCTACAAAAAAAAAATCTTGCCGGTAATCACATTGAAAATAACAATGAGCATATATCCTTTTGGAGCAGATTTGAAAGCGAATTGAAACGAATACGTAAAGGGAATCGCAGCCCATCCGAAGAGTAGCATTAGAAGGAACAACGTAAATGCGTTGGTAACGTCTCCAAAAAATTCCTGCGTGAATTGCACAGTTAATTTCCTTATTATTAAAACACTTCGGAAAAACGAAGAATATGAAGCTGTACAGCCCTTACCTTGATGTCGTAGACAAGAAAAACAATTTCAAATATAATAGATGTGCAAATAAAAAATACTAAATCCCAAATATAAGCAGAACACCAATAAATCCACGTTGGTAATCCGCTCATTATCTGGAAAAATTATTTAATTTTTACAATTTCGTAGTCATGCAGGGAGAGCAACAAATTAGAATATAGCAACTAGATAAGAAGTCTACCGTTTGAAAGAGTGTCATAAATTAGAAGCGAGGTTGTCATGTTAAAACTGCAAAAGCTTTAGGTAAAAGTTGTCAAAGTAAATTTCATTAGTAGATGTACAATCTGTTCAGTAACCTGCATATGTTTTGATCTTTTCTTCCGTTCGCGTATAAGAAAACTAGAAAATCCAGATACTACCATACTCATCGAAACAATAACAGCCATACCCATCATCAACCCTTTATTGCTACTCATGCCCTTATTTTTAATAGAATCAGCATTAGTAGGAGGAAGTGGATGATTAGTTACCTAAATGTCTGTACAGTGAACACAACAATGAGCAGTTGACTGGAGATGTCTATATAACAAAAGATGACAACTCAAAACTGCAATAAAAAAAAAGTAAAATTAACTAAAAGATTTACAGTGAAAGTAATATTGCGATTTAAAGCTGCGGTAGCTATGATGGAGTCGGCAATGCTGACAGCCAACGGTGGAGTAGCCAATCCAAAGTTATCAAACATTGCTAAATTAATTCTTTTGAAAAGTAAAAATTGCGCTTTAAATCTGATCCCAAAAATCACAACATCTATCTCACCGTCTATGAACCGAGTGTTCGTAGCTTGAAGAAGTTCCATGCGAAAGCCCACTGGGTTATGCAGACCAAAATTTCTACTTCCTTGCTGCAAATAAAGCACAATTAAAAAACTATTTTGAATCCTTATATTAAATAAAAAACAATAAAAGTCAGTCTGGATATTTAATTGTACATTGACAATTCACTGATAAAAAACCTTGGCGAGATCAACCAGCATTTTTGCAGTTACATTATAGGCCACTGTGATATCGTACGGATACCGATTTGGAATGGCTTTCGGTATAATCCTGCAACAATGAGATCATTTCTCCAGCTTTAGCTGTAAATATGATCAAATACTCAAGAATTAGTAAATAGAAAAAAAATTATAAAAATCCAAAATTATATTTTACGTTGCCAAATTGTGACTTTGAAAAGTATCGTTTTCTCCATAAACGTTAGCGATAACCCCTTTACTGGTGTATGGTTTCAGTGTTATTTCTAATGGATCTTGTGGTTTTGCGTCTGGTATAGCGTTCGTAGCGTAAACTATCAATGTCAGATATGCGATCTGAGAGGGGAAAGAAATAGTAAATGAGTGGCCAAACCATGCTGCTATTTTTTCAATACTGGTTCGCGTAATAAGAAACTGTAAATTGTAAGCAAAATTAAACTGAATGTCCTACCGGAAGTATAAGCTGTGGAAGGAACTGTACCCATCGTCTATAGAAATAAACAATACGCTTGATTGTCATCGCTTCAAACATTTGTAGATAATGAGATAATCCAACGAGGTGGTTATTGCATCTCAGTTCTAAAAAAAGGTTTAATTATTACGTGCGATTATCTAAGTAACTAAGATGTTAAAAATTAGTGTGTTAGCAGGATTTTTACACTGCACAAAAAAGGATCAAAGTAATCAAATGGTGATTGCAGGTAACGCACTGTCTTATGCCATATGTCTAACTTAGGAAAAACGAACTGGAAATGTAGTTCTCCTTCGCTTTGGTGTCAAGACTTGTGGTGCTGTAAACTTTTGTTAACAAAGTCGTTCCCTCAGCTTCACCCTTTTTAGTATCTGCTAACTCACCTACTCTAAAATAATCAGAGTAACTGCTATATTTCCTAAGAAAGCAAAAAAAAAAAAAATTAAAAATAGAAAATTTACTTGCTTTAAATCCAGGTATCAAAATTACGAATGGCAAACCTATTTTTGTGTACAATAGAAGTTGATACTGTAAATCGTTTAGACAAAGAAGCTAAGACAAGTAAAATATAGAACTAAGTTGCCTACTTCAGAAACACTTCTTCCATCGTTGTTACAGAAACACCGAATGATTGTATTCCCAAGTTGTCCAGACTGTCTTCCAAATCCCGAAACATTTTTGGAAAACTAAATTTTAAAAAACTCTCAAGAAAAGTTAGTTCGAAATCAGTGTCTTCATTACACAGATAGATAAAATAAAGCATAATACAATGCCAAAACCAAATAAATCCTTATAAAGAAATTCAGAGGTTCCTACTGACCTGGAACGATTATCAGAAGGTAATAGAAAAATAGCTTCTAGGCCAATAGCTGACTGAATTTTAACGCTTGGGCAATACTTCCTTAGCAAATTTAGCGTTTCCGAATACAACTCACTGCCAGTGTGAGAAAGTCCGGATAGAGGGGACGGTTTTTTATAATCCACCGTCATATAATACCCAGCTCCTCAAACCAGAAAGTTAAACAGTTGAATAAAAGTTGTAAAAGTATATTTTGAGGGCAGTAAATTAAATTACCATATAAATTTTTAAGGAACATGCTGGTTCCGACACACTGTAATTCGCCATGCGCCAGTATAGCTGTTCTATCACCAAGTAGATCGGCCTCGTCCATATAATGTGTTGTGAGGAGCATTGTACGTTTAGACTAAAAAAACTTTCTTATAACCTTTTTAAAAAAAATATCATCTTCTTCAAGTAAATCTTTCAAACGCTTAAGGCTTTTAATAATTTGGTTATTATATTTTTTCTTATCCAGTTCATCTTTTCGCTAGATTCCGACGGACCTTTTCACTCTGCAAAAGCTTCCATGTGTCATGACGAGCTCCGGGGTCCATACCTGAAGTTGGTTCGTCAAGCATGACGACCTAAAAAGTTGATAATAATCTAAAGACGCCTCTGATAAAGGGTGGAATATTTTTAAGCAATCGTTGCCAATATTTACCTCAGAGCCGCCGATTAGTGCAATAGCAAGTGAAAGTTTTCGTTTCTGTCCACCTGATAGCGTTCCAGCATAAGCATCGGCTTTGGAATCAATTTTCAGCTGTGAAATTAGATGATGCGCTTCTGATAAACTCCATTCACGCCCTTTCAGCTAAATGCAAAAAAACGTCAATCGAGTTTCTGGAAAACACTAGAATAATGCTGCAAAGCAACAGTAACTTTGCAAAAAAACTCCAAATGTTCCATAACAGTAAGTGTGTCGAACAAAAGGTTATATTGCGGACAGAGACCGAGCATTTTGCGAATATTTGGTAGAGAGTCTCGGATATCATAGCCATCAATGTATGCTGTCCCATGTGTTGGAGCAGTAACCCCTTAAAATTTTTATTACTGCAGACCAAATGAAAAATTTTAAATCACCTTAGAGTGACTAACCAGTAAGAACAGAAAAAGTAGTGCTTTTGCCAGCTCCATTATGTCCAAGCAGTGCTGTAACCTGGCCTCGGTACATTTTCAGGTTCAAATTTGAAACGGCCTTTTTCTCTCCCTTTTTACTCTAGAATAGAAAATAAGCCTCGTAATCGCTGAACTGTAAAGTATGATTAGCCCAAAAATTAAAGATATAAACAATAAAAAAATAAGAAAGTTTACAAATTTGCAATCAAACAGCTTCTTCAACCAACTCGTCCCATACGTTTTGCTCATATTAACGATGTTTACTGTCACTTCAGCGCCGTCTGGAACAGGTTCGACACTTTTTTTCGCGTCTGTCTCGAACCCGTTTTCAAGGTCTTTCCCTTGAAAAAAGGTTTTTCTTCCACTTATTTCTGGGAACCAATATGAAGGCTGAAAGTAGAAAATTCGTTTAATCTGTTTTTCACTCTTGAAAATATGGAGATAATTTCTGGAAATTGTTTGCAATACTAAAATTTTAGCTTTTTTTCTACACACATTCAATATAAAGCAAATTCAAGAACTCAGAATGAATATTCTAAAGTTATAATTGACTGGCAAGAAAATTACCAGAATAAAAAAATACGGTTTTTGTGGGACTCCCTCTCCTCCCGGAAAGACTGCTTCAAAATACCAAGTGAGAATAATGAACACTATACCATCAATCGCAAGCATGACCAAAATGTGACCCATCGTTATGGTTTCATCTGGTGAGGGTGTTTCAAACACATTTGCCCAATGTATCCCAGCAGCTTGAAAAAAATTTATATTATTCTTCAAAACGATAAGTGAACTTTTTTAAACAAATTTCTATAAAGAAATAACTTAATTTTAAGGAAACAAATTTGAACCTTGCGTCTCGTACTGAGCAATTAGGCGGATTCCAAAATTAAGAGCAACATCTGGATTCAAACAGTTTGCCATTCTAACAGAAAATGAATAGGGTACTTGTGCATCAACATTTGAGAAAAATGCATACCAAAAGTACAGTAAAAGCCACCCAATTACGGCCATCGTTGTACCAGCAGTTGCTAAAAAAAGTCCAGTACCAATGTTAGGTGAATTATTATGAGAAGTCTGTATGATACTAGAAGCAAGCTGTTGTTGTTTACTAACCTGAATGCATGAATGTGGAAATAAAGAATGCAAAATAGACTGTGTCAAAACCGTAGAGCAGGAAAAACACAAATGCTACAGATGGGTCACTTCTTTTTGTAACGAAATATAGAAGAATTGATAAAACAATAACACTGACTGATACTTTTAAATAATCGACAACAAAAAAAGCAACCCAATGTACCCACTGTCGAAGACCCATGACCTTCATGTACTCCTGAAAATTACTTTGTTTTTTAAGATGTTTTGGTCATTTTGAAGAAAAAATGTAACTGATTTGGAAAAACTTAACCTTGAGCCTATTCTCCTTTTCCATTACAATTGATCGAACAATGTAGATTACACTGGCCATAAAGGAGAAGACCAGAATAAACGGAAGAAAAAAAGAACCAATTTCGATAATTTCCAGTTTGTATGCTGAATATGGAAAGCGTTGAAGCTAAAAACAAGTTTATTAAGAAGGTAAAACATTATTCAAAAAAAAATTAGAATAATTACAAATTTTTTTTTATTACCAAAAGTCCAGGTGTATTCTGAGGCAGTGATGAGTTTTGTTGTGACAGATACTGTTGAATAGAAATATCAACAGCTTTCTGAAGTGTCAAAAATCCTTCTTGCCAATATCCTAAACAAGTTAATCTCTGGATAGTTTCAAATTTTAAAATGCACTATTTTCGCAGTAATCTCTAAAGCTTTTACCGATGAAAAATAATATGAATTAAAGTGCCTGATACATCGCTTTTGGTCTTTCTTTTCGTAAGATTAGTTCACATCAAGTACTGCGGTATTTCAGCGTAAGACAAAGTTAAGTTGTCAAAAACAAAATATCTTTTTTACCTGGACTTCCACCATCAACGTCGTCTGGATTGGTGGGTCCAGAAACAAACGATTCTGTAAAATCTCTCGAAGTATCCCACGGTTGAAAGCTTTCGCCAAAGACTTCTTTGAAACGTCTTTTTGTATTTGCTAGCCTAATTTTATAAGCTATGTCACTTATCCTATCCGGGTTCGAATTTTTTGCAAAACTGTCCGCAAACACAATTCCTCCTACAATCTTCATTATTTTAAGATCTCCAGAAGAAAAAAATTAATTTTTCTAGCTGTTGACATTGTTGAAAGCTTTATTAGTCAAAATAAAAAAAAAATTAAGTAACTAACCGATTAATGGGTTGCCACATTGACTGACAAACGACTGAGTAATATAGTCGACCATTTCATCTTCATTTGCTTTTGCTAAAAAATTAGTCACAGTTGAAAAAAATACAAAAAAAGTTTATTTTTTGTATATAATTTATACGATTTTCTTCAAAAACTTGTCAAGATTAGCTAATTTCAAGAATAAAAACAGCATTCAAATAAAAAAAAATTTTTTCAAATTGTAATTCAAAAAAAACGGTAACGAAAAAGTATTTTGCGATAACAGCATAATTTCGCTAACGTTTTGATGAAATAAGCAAGAAAAAAAGGCAAACGGCATTTTAAAACATCATAAAAAATAATTACGAGTTACGGTTGCTGTTGAGGTAAAATTGAAGTTTGAGAGTACGATTGAAGGTGGGCCAACAGTTGTTGGTAAAAAAGGACTCTGAAGAGCAAAAAGTTGAATTAAGGTGGTTGCCAGATCAAAGTTTAGTTGACTGTTTGTATAACGTTCCTGAAATACCAAACTTTCAGCTTACTGCCAACAAAAATCTGTTTTTAATCCTACAAACTCAAACTTTATTAATGTCAAATTGTTTCTTTTTCACCTGCCAAAATAAATTGGTTTAAAAATTATTGTCAAAAAAAAAAAAAAAAAATACGTGGCCTTAACAAAAACCATATAGAACAAAAAAAAGTTACTTTTTTTTTTGGTTGCATTTATTTTTTAATAATAAGTTATTAAAATTTTGAAATGCTTTGAATTTTTTAGATTGATTGTTAGCTGTTACCATAAATTTGGTTATTTTAAAAACAGTGTTTGTTGTATCTTGAAAAAAATTAAAAGAGAAAAGCAGAAAAAGAAAGTAAGAATTTACATTCGAATTTAAAGCTTTTTTCATAAATTCTATCAGAAAATTTTTTAAACAAATTGATATGTAATAACAACAACTAACTTTGACAGTATTCATCACAGCATCTGTTACTGCTGTTTGTGGTGAATAGGCGATTTCTAATCCAATAATATAATTGTAAGGATTTGTTTTAGTAATGTTCAGAAATATACAACTGTCGCTATTTTCAAGAAAAAAATTTTCAAGATTGATCACAGAACCCTGTAAAATTAATGCCTTTTTAAAAGATAAGTTTAATGCA